AAAGTGACCTCCAACACGAACGCGCAAACAGTGTTGGAAGTTCTGGTTTCTACTTCCGGAGAACAGTAAAAGTCACAGTCCAAGAGAAATAAATACTAAGTAAAAGATAAGCATATATTTTTACATATGTATGTAAAAAAAATCAAAATTGTTTTTACAATAATTTCATATTAAAATATGTAGTATGTACTAAAATATCCAACGGTTTAATGACAGAACCTTTATTTTGACATGTATGAACGGTCGAAATGGCGCATGCGCACTTTCAGTTTCCAAATCAATGGACAGAGCAAAGTCGGGAACATGGCAGTTGTATCGAAATGACCGGTCTTTTTAATAAATATACGTTTTTACTTTATATTTCCAGTCCGTAAGCAGTAGAGTAAATACATATGTACGTCTGACACACTCATATATTAATCGTGTTGACAGTAGTTTGGGATGGGGCTCGTCCTGCGGAACCTGCAGACGGTGGTTCCTCTGAGGCGCGCGCGCATGCGCAAAGACGTGGAGATCCTGAGGCACATCTTCGGCGTGCAGCGGTTCGACATGGGCATCATCTGCGTGGACAACCGCAGGATCCAGCGCATCAACCGGGTCTACCGGCGCCGGGACCGGCCCACCGACGTGCTGGCCTTCCCCTTCTATGAGGTACAGCCGCCCGCACACACTCTTCACACTCATTCCTGAACGATTCATTCTTCAGCGATTGAAGACAGTCATAGACATATACATGGAAGACAGCATGTGATTGACAGCTGGCTGGAGCCTGTTTCCGACACGGAATAATAATAATAAACAAAAAATGGTAATTTTGTAAGTGACTTTTCTCGCAATTTTGAGTTTATTCTGAGAAGAAAAAAGATAATTGCTAGTTTCTCCAATTCAGACTTTATAACTCAAAATAGAAAGTTTATACCGGTATCTAAACTCTGAGGGGGTTTGTCAGAATTGTGAGATACACACACACAAAATCTTTATTGCGTTTTTTTTTACTGAAAAAAAAAAAAAAAAAAAAAGGATCTGAGCCTGATGTGTGTGTGTGTGTGTGTGTGTGTGTGTGCGCAGGATCTGAGGCCGGGGAAGCTGCCGTGTGTCCTGCAGAGAGACGAGTATAACCTCGGGGACATCTTCCTCGGGGTGGAGTGTGTGATGCAGCAGTGCAGAGAGACGTCGCAGGACCTGCACCAGACTCTCACTGTAAGACACACCGACTACCGATCACACTACACATACACTGACGGACACAGTAAAGGTCTTCTCTCTCTCTGTGTGTGTGTGTAGGTGGTCACAGCTCATGGGATCTGCCACTTACTGGGATACAGACATGAAACTGAAGAGGACTGGAATGAGGTACAGCATACTTTAGTGTGTGTTAATCAGGAATTTACTTCGGATTGTCAGAAGAGGGAAATGTGTGTAAGTGAGGAGAGCAAAATAAAGTAAACTGACATATTATACCCAATATTCTTCACATAGTGACTCCGGTAACATTTATAAAGGTGTGGGACAAAGAATGACTCGAACACTTTGAGCTGATTATGTTTTGCTGAAGTGTGTTTTCTGCTCTTTTTACACTCAAACACACTGAACAACATGAAGCATTGGTTGAGCTAAACTGGTATTATCTAATTGTCTAGTTAGATGTATCATCTGACAGGTATTCAATAATATATGAAGAGTTCAGATGCAAAAGCCTCTAAGTGCCATTTGAAATTTTTTCTAAAATGATAATTTTTTATCAAGCTTGTATATTAAGTTCAGTGATTTCACTTAAATGGCAATGATAATTACCTATTAATTGTTATTTAAGTGAAATTACTGAACTTAAATATACAAGTTTGATAAAAATCATCATTAAAGAAGAAAATTTCAAATGGCACTTAGAGGCTTTTGCATCTGAACTCTTCATATATATATATATATATATATATATATATATATATAATCATAATTCATGTGTAAGAGTCGAACAGAAGGACTAAACCAGTCAAATATCCACTGATCTGAGAACTCTGAGTTCTTCTTTTACTACTATTTTCTAAACTAGTGATTAAACTGGTAATGTGAGTAATGTTAAAGATGTTTGGACACATTTAGGTTTGACTGTAATTAGAACTTCGCTAATATTTAAGATAAATATGAATTTTGACGGGCTTATCCCCAGTTCTGCTCGGACAGCGTGCGAGTTTGACTTTCTGAAATTTAAGTCCTTTTAAAACAGCCATGACCTCTGTGAAGAGGTACTTGAAGAGTGTGTGATTTAAATAAAATATATATGATAAATAAATAAAAAAAATTAAACAAATGCAATCTTTTCACACAAAATGAGCACTGATAAACCCATCAGACTAGATACAAATATACCCACATTATAACCATTATATTTAAATACATTGTATTTTGGATACCGTACATCTTTAATTTGAGTTTAAAAAAAATTGACATCTCAGATTGTAGTGCTTTAAAAGTCCTTGAACTTCATTTATTTAATGCATATTATTAAATGCATTGTAATTTGTATTTTAGCTATAAAAACCCCAAATTCAAAATTGTAATATTGTGAAAAGGTTTTCATAAGTTGTAAGCCATAATCATCAATGTTAAAACAAAAAAAGGCTTGAAATATCTCACTTCGCATGTAATGAGTCTATATAATATTAGTTTCACCTTTTAAGTTGAATTACTGAAATCAATGAACTTTCGCACGATACTCTAATGTCGAATATGGGTCAATTATTTTATCTGATATTTATACATAAATAAGCGTTCCTTTGATGTATGGTTTGTTAGGATATGACAATATTTGGCAGAGATAACACTATTATGAAATAGAAAAATCGCCTTTAAAATTGTGCATTTATGTTCATGATAATGCAGCATCCACTCACAGAAATTTATGTTTTATGTATTTACGGTGGGAAATTTATAACATATCTTAATGGAACATGATCTTTACTTTACATCCTAATGATTTTTGGCATTAATTTAAATACTAATAATTTTTGGCATAAAAAAAAATCTATAATATACAGACACAGCCGTGCGTCACGTGACTGGCTTTGTGATCCAAAGTCTCGCATCTGTAATCTGAGTTTTAAAATATATCCTAAAGATATTGTTTGATAAGGAAGATCTCAGATTATAGTGCATGAAAGTCTCCCAAATACTCCTTGAATTTCATTTATAGCATATTAAATACATTGTAATTTGTATTAAAAAAAAAAACTTGTATCTGTAATGAGTTGAAAACTTATTTATTGAACAATAATAGGCATTATAAATTTTGTATTTAATATATATATTATTAAATCCATAGTAATTTGTATTTTGAATGCCTTATGTGTGTAATAAAGTTTGTAAGAGTGATGCCTGACGGACACACGTCTTCTCTCTGTCCCACACACAGATGCAGCAGAAGGAGAGCTACGTCCTCAGCGAGTTCAACAGGCTCACGGGCAGCCGGCTCGAGCCGCTCACCAAGAGATACGCACACCACACGTGACACACACACACCAGCACTCGTTTCTCTAAATCAGTTTTATTTTAAAATGTGTTCAAGGAATCCAAAGACTGAATTACTAAGCAATCGAGTAGAGCTTATAGCACTGTTGTTTCAGAAACACAATCTCCTCAAGACGACCCCAACAGAAGACATGAATAAAGTGGTGACCGGACACATGGAAACAAGACTTACAGACATCCTAAAATAAATAACATCAGCTGACACAGTCACATGGCATGCTCTCTATATCCAGTAAAGGTGTATGAACGTTTCACTTCTTCCTGAAGACACACACTTTTCTACACGACGGCTGTGCAACTCCACATAAAGCTCAACAGAAGGAAAACTAAACGCTTCACTGGGTCTGTCAGGGGCCATCTTTAAAAAAAGACAAGCTACGTCATCAATACCATTGAGCTTGTTAGAATAACGCTTTATAAAATGAGAATAAAACAAACAGTCATCAGTGAAGCCTTGAGTATAAACCGAGCCGCTCTCTCGTCGCTGTATAAAAGCCGACCGGCGAAAGCAAATATTGCACCACATTTCCAGCTGCATATCAAACGAGAAACACACACCCCCCGTACTCAATATCCCACACACACAGATACAAGAATAAAGTTTTGTATGCAATAGACCAGGAAGGGAATCTAAAAATCTGCAGAGGGGAAAGAAGAACAAAGAAGATTTCATAGAGAAACACGCTTCAAATATTTAATGCATGAGAAGTTCACCAAAGGGACTTCTCATATTAAAGGCAAACAAAAGAGAAAATTAAGCGGCAACTCCTTCCGTCCTGGAGTTGCACCTTTCGAGAAACTATATTCATATATTTATTTTTCTTTGCTGCTCCCCATAAACATTTTGCACCTCTATGAGTTTCTAGAACATGTATCCATCTAACCGCAAGTCTACAGCGTCCACAGGGAGAGAGAGAAGTGCCCTCAGGAGGGGTGAGTGTGTGTGTGGTCTTCAGTAGCGCTGATGAGGGCTGAGGCTTTACCCTGGGCTCAGGTCAGGGGCATTATGGGATGTTAGAGCGGCTGCAGGACTGTGCGTGCGGCGTCACCGTTCCCTCCGGCCTTCTCCAGCTCCGACAGCTCCTCGAACACCTCTCTAAACACACGTCAGATACAAACACCTACCTCAGTCACTCATTCATCTGCACAGGACACATTTAGGGCTATAGGGCCTGTCACACTTTATTTTTTTAATGAGAAGTTTATTTATACAGGGACAGTACAACAAAAAAACATGATTCCAGTCAAAAATCGCGAGGTGGGAAGCACGTTCGCAAGGTGGGGAGGCCCCGTTAGCGAGGTGGGAAGCCCGTTCGCGAGGTGGGAAGGCCCGTTTGCAAGGTGTGAAACCACGCTTGCGAGGTGGGAAACCCCGTTTGCGAGGTGAGAAGGCGTTTGCGAGGTGTGAAACCACGTTTGCGAGGTGTGAAACCACTTTTGCGAGGTGTGAAACCACTTTTGCGAGGTGTGAAGCCACGTTTGCGAAGTGGGAGGCTGGGTTTGCGAGGTGGAAAGCCCATTTCGCGAGGTGGGAAGCACGTTCGCGAGGTGGGAAGGCCCGTTCGCGAGGTGGGAAGGCCCGTTTGCAAGGTGGGAAGGCGTTTGCGAGGTGAGAAGCCGTTTGCGAGGTGTGAAACCACGTTTGCGAGGTGTGAAACCACGTTTGCGAGGTGTGAAACCACGTTTGCGAGGTGTGAAACCACGTTTGCGAGGTGTGAAACCACGTTTGCGAGGTGAGGCGGCGTTTGCGAGGTGTGAAACCACGTTTGCGAGGTGTGAAGCCGCGTTTGAGAGGTGTGAAACCACGTTTGCGAGGTGGGAGGCTGGGTTTGCGAGGTGGTAAGCCCCGTTCGTGAGGTGGGAAGCCAGGTTTGCGAGGTGGGGAGGCCCCGTTCGCGAGGTGGGAAGGCCCGTTCGCGAGGTGAGTTTAGTTAGCCCTAGTTTAGTTAGTTGTTGTCCCAGCCCTAGTTTAGTTAGTTGTTTTTGTTATTTTAGTGCTCAAACTAAATGAAAATCTGAAATGTCTGTTCAAATAAGGAAATTGTTGTATGACTTTAGTCAATAAATGTAATCTTAACTATTATAAGGCCACCAAGAGCATGCGAGTATTGCGTACATGTGGTTTCAAGCATTCACAATAGTTATTTTTAGGATGACAGTCATTGGCGAGTGCGTCCATGACACTGACTTGTGCATGTAGAAAAAGATGTATCCGCTGCGGTCCCGGTCCCTCTGCACGGTGGACTCCTGCGTGCGTGACACGTCCAGGTCGTTGTAGGTGAGCCACGACTGCTTCCTCATATCGTACACGTCACTGATGTAATGCCCTACAGGAGCACACACACACACAGTCACACACACCGGACTCTGCAAAGCAGCAACACGAGGGTGAGGTGCAGTACCTGACGAGGAGCTGCTGCCGATGTGGCTGACCACACTGATGAGCCGGAACGAGTTGGGCAGCTCTCCGGTCTACAGGACACACACACACACACACACACACACAAGCATTACAGGAGAACACTGGCACGCAAGACCTGCAACATCGGAGACTCACCAGTGCTTTTACATTTTAAACAGGACAACTTGAAGTCTCAATCTAGCTCATTTAAATCCCCAATTATTCATTTTGTCTAGGAATAGATTTCTTTTTCACAACTCAAACAAAACCTCCTGAAGTATAACAGAAAGTTATACTTCTAGATTTAGATATCGACTCTAGATTTCCAGATGTCCAAAAAAAGTTAAGTAAATTAAAACATTGTTATATAATAATTGAACACTGAAGCCAAGTGACACACATATATACATTGTCTTGTGCAACAAAAATACAAACAGTGCAAATCACTTTCACAAACTATTAGCATTACATTGTGTGGCGACTCTTTAAAACAAATTTCAGTGCCTCATCCGAGGTGTAAAGCAGTTTTGCACTTCGTCAGAGTGCAAATCTGTTATTTCATGCACTCACGCAAGTACTTTCCCTTCGGGTCAGTTCAAATTTCCAAAGAAAGATGCTAATTGGTGGAGTAAAAGACCAAAACATGTTTATTGTTCAAGTCAATGATAGTTTCAGCTAATCTGGCTGTCTCGGTCGTTCAGGGTCACGAGTCGAAGGTTTTACAATTTTATCATTTACAGTACATTGGATCTTGAATGGGTGACAGGGTTGCAAGGCCTCTGATTCGTCAATCATATCTGAAGACATCATTTAGTTTGTTACGTTGTTCACTTGAAATCTGTTGAATGTGTTCCTTTGTCTCAGTGTAGCTGACTTCGGTTCACCTTTTTGTGAAGGTCTCATTTGTTTAGATTCACTTCATTACTTGTGTTATATATTGTTAAAGCTATCCTTCAATATATAACGTCTGCAGAACAGACATCTGGCTCGACCAGAGGAAGCAAAAGCTGTCTCTCCATGTTCTGTATTTGTATTAAGATGATCAATTTCAAATTCGTTGACGAATCAATGCGGACCCAAACAGCGGAGCCTCTGAATGCCCAACGGAGACCAACGATCCCACTGAAAAGCCGAGAATCTCCTCTTTACAAGACTTTATAGAGCACACGGATTGGTTTAAGGGTTCAAGAGTGATTAAACCCAGACGCACCTCAGCGTTCTTCTTGAGCTCCTCCGCTTCAGCCTCGCTGTACTCCATATCCAGGCCGTCTTCGTTGCCCGAGTCGTCGTCGGAGCACAGCAGCTCGGGCAGGGAGTTATTGAACTCTACGACAACAGAAACACACACGGTCACACACAAACACACTCACATTAGCACACGAGTCATGTGAGGCAGAACACCGTGTCATGCTGACCTTGCAAGCTGAGCTCTGTGGCCCTCTTCAGGTCATCATCTTCTCGCATCTCTCTCGCCTCCTGCGCACAGAACACACAACACCCCCTCGTTACACAACTATTGCCACGATCCGTTAAAGCTGCGCTGACGCAACACTGGAGTTACAGCTGGTAAGAAGATTGTGCTGAAAAACTAAACATGTCTGTGCCATTTACCCCACAAAACAAAAGAGAAAAGAACAAAACATCCAAGTAAAAGTGCCCCATTATGCGGTTTCAGATATCCCCTTTCCTGTAGTGTGAGCTAAAGCTGTTTGTGGATAGTTTCAAACATCACAGTGGAGATTAATAAGGAAGTGATTCTGAAACGAGTCGCCAGTAATTCCAGTCTCTCTTCCTGCCGAATCTACGCATCTGTGTAACATTTGTATAATGCCAGTCTATGGTCTTCATCGGCCGCTGGTGAACAACGTCTACTTTGACCCTCAAACACTGTGGTGTATGTCGGGGACTGGAAGAGTTTGGTTCGTGTTGTTCATGTCGAGAAGACGCTGTTTTCTTGACATGAACACCATCGTTACTGATCATATCACTGACTAAATGCTGTGACTATCTATCAAGAGCTGAGATACAGATATAATGAGCAAGACTGGGTCATCTGACCAATCAGAGCTGAGTAGACTGAGCCATCTGACCAATCAGAGCTGAGTAGATTGAGCCATCTGACCAATCAGAGCTGAGTAGACTGAGCCATCTGACCAATCGGAGCTGAGTAGACTGGGTCATCTGACCAATCAGAGCTGAGCAGAGCAGACTGAGCCATATGACCAATCAGAGCTGAGTAGACTGGGCCATCTGACCAATCAGAGCAGAGTAGATTGAGCCATCTGACCAATCAGAGCAGAGTAGACCAATCAGAGCAGAGTAGACCAATCAGAGCAGAGTAGACTGAGTCATCTGACCAATCAGAGCTGAGTAGATTGAGCCATCTGACCAATCAGAGCTGAGTAGATTGAGCCATCTGACCAATCAGAGCTGAGTAGATCAATCAGAGCAGAGTAGATTGAGCCATCTGACCAATCAGAGCTGAGTAGACCAATCAGAGCAGAGTAGACCAATCAGAGCAGAGTAGACTGGGCCATCTGACCAATCAGAGCAGAGAAGACTGAGCCATCTGACCAATCAGAGCTGAGTAGACCAATCAGAGCAGAGTAGACCAATCAGAGCAGAGTAGACTGGGCCCTCTGACCAATCAGAGCAGAGAAGACTGAGCCATCTGACCAATCAGAGCAGAGTAGATTGAGCCATCTGACCAATCAGAGCAGAGCAGACTGAGCCATATGACCAATCAGAGCTGAGTAGACTGAGCCATCTGACCAATCAGAGCAGAGTAGCTTGTGGAAAGGAGGATTTTAAAGAGATTGATTCATCTGACGAGTCGTTTGAGAATCACTGAACTGGAATTGAGCTTTCCAGCCATTTTGACAGCCATAAAGAGTTCTTTACTAAAGCTCTATTTAGACCCCTTGGGTTCCTGACTCTTAGAAGACGAGTGAGTGAGTGTGTGTGTGTGTGTGTGTGTGTGTGTGTGCCTCACGTGTTCCTGCAGGCTCTGGGCGAGCGCCTGCTGCAGCTCCTGCTCCTCACGCTCCTGCTCCAGACTGAACTGCTGCACCCAGTCCAGCTCGCCCGGGGCTCCCTCGGGCGTCTCGTTCTCCTTGTTCTCATCCATGGTCAGATCCAGAGACTCCAGAGCATCTACACACAACACAACACAACATGAGCACATGTAGTCTACTGGTCACCTTTATTTATACAGCGCCTTTTACACTACAGTGTTTCCAGAGATAACAGCAAAAGTCACAACTTCAGTGATGGTACATTTTTTTATTAACTTACGCTGTTTATATAACTCCGTCCAGCTCAGTTCTCAAATAACGGTGTAAATGCAGACAGATCAATAATATTGTTGATTATTAGATTAAATCCCCCAACTAAGCAAAACAGAAGCCAATGGCGACAGTGGCAGAGCTCCAGAGCGGAGGAAACTGCAGTGAACTCGAGCGTGAGTCGGGGTTTACCCGCGGGCGGCTTCTCCGGCTCCAGCAGGTCCAGGTGCTGCGCGGGCTCGTGTCCCTCCGCGTCCCCGAAGCCCGTGTCAGGGCTGCTGGTGGGCTCGTCCTCGGGGCCCGCGGGGAGGCTGGTGTCGTGGCGACTAAACTCCAGCACTGCCGCCAGCATCTCCTCGTCATTCATGCTTTCAGACTGTGGAGAGAGAGAGAGTCGGTCAGATTCATTTGGGCAAACATTTCATTTGAACAGGGGTGAAAAGTAAGATTTTGACCTGACCAATCAGAGCAGGCTGGGTTATCTGACCAATCAGAGCAGAGTGGGTCATCTGACCATTTTAATTTGTTTGCTGCAATGAACATTTTAGCAAATTACATCTTATTTTGTTTAGTTGTCTGTTCAGAATCATGGGAGAATCGTAAGATCTATTTTAAACAAAACAAATATGCGATTTAACCAGAATCATGCAGCTCTGTATGTTTCTCACAGCAGCACAGCCGTTTTTTCAACATTAATAATAATCATAAGAGTTTCTTGATCATCAGATCCTCATATTAGAGTGATTTCTGAAGGGTCATGTGACACTGAAGACTGGAGTAATGATGCTGAACATTCAGCTTTCATCATGATATTTTAAAACATGTATATTATTGATCAAATAAATGCAGCCTTGGTGAGAACAGACTTTTCAAAATAAATTTTTAAATTTTTACCGATCCTCAACTAATGATAAATCCTGCCATTTAAAACGTAAAGAGAGCCTATAATTTGCTCGTGCCTTGGGAACCAAACACGACAATCAATCACGAGACGACTCGTGCTGTTTCCAGAGCTGCACACACATCCGAAATTTAATGTTTTATGCCGTTTTCAGTGATGAGTAACTATAGTGCAGCTCTTAAAGTGACGGTAGCCTAATATTCCTGCAGCCGTCTCTATAATAACACCAGAGAAAACTCACTCATTCTCCACTGAATAAGTTTAGAAACTGCATTTGAGATGTATATTTTGTATAAAGTGCAGTGATATTTTACATTTGATCACAGTTTCTCTGTTTGTTGCGATCGCTAATTTAAAGAGTAAAGAGTGTTTACTTGTCTTGACATCTACATTAGTTAGGCTAGTTGTGTGTTTTTAACCCTCAGGTGCTCTTCGGTGATTTCTGACCGAAAAATTTTCTGTTTTGAAATGTTAATAATCACAGCTTCATCGGAATGTTACGAAATTTGGTGACTTTTATGGTTTTGGGTATGTGAACACACACAAAAAATTGAGGTCATGATCCGTGCAGGCTCAGTGGTCGTAAAAAAAAAAAAGTCACACTTGTGCTCTTCGGTCAAAAATGACCCCCATAGGAAATGAATGGGAAATTGACAAACACAAAAATTCGCAATTTAATTAATTAATTAATTATTTTTTTTTTTTTACATTTTTTAAATAAGAAATCGTTTTTGAGATTGTTTCAACTATACATTCAAATCCACCAAAAAAAAAAAAAATGCGTTCATAAACAGCAGGGGAATTCACATGCCTCTCAATAGAGAGCTGTACATGCCATCTAGTGGTTACACCATGATTCTACGCTTTTTCTCTATACTGTAACCAGATGGTGCTAATTTTCTTCAAAAAATATTTTTTTCTGAAGGCCTAGACTCTATATTAAACTAAAATACTGCATTAATAACTTTTTTTTTTTAAAATAATATATATATAGAAATATATATATTTTTTTCCATGGCAAAAATAAACCATAAATATTGCATAAATATGAATAAATTCAGTCAAATTGTCTCAAAATACGGAATCAAAAAGAATAAATATTAAAGAACAAAAATAAATTGCATTGGTTTTACTGGGATGGAGGAAATGTAATTTTTAGGTGTCCGGTCACTTCTGACCGGGAAGAAAACATGTGTGACTCCGAAACGAAGAGCACAAGAGGGTTAAAAGTGTTCTTTAGCCAGTTGATTTCTGTTCATGATATTCAGCCACAATTAAATGTCTTGCAATAAGACTAAATGTGAATATCATCTACGTTGTTTTTTTTTTTTTTTTGTTGATTCAAAATTAGGAATCGATTAGAATGGCTAAACTGAATCGCTAGCTTACCCTCCTCGTGATGTCAGCGTTGGACTGTAGTTTTCTGCATAAATGTTTAATTGATGTGCTCACCTCTTCCGTCCGGTCTTCCTCTGGATGAAGTCTGCGACCCACTTTCCTGACCAGCTCCTCCTCACTGTCCGAGTCGCACAACACACTCCCCGAGCTCTCGGGCTTCACAGAACCCTTCCTGTAACACACACACGAGTGTGAACACGTCGACACTAGGGCTGGCATGACTCCTCGGTTGAAGTCGAGACTCAAAATACAAGAAGAGCCGTTCACCGGACGAGGCTATTTAAAGTCAGAGAATAGAATCTATTCTATTCTATAATATAATATAGCAGTGCTACTGGGAAAATCACAAAGAACAAAGTTGTTTATCAGCACATTTTTTTACTGGTGAAACTCGAAAGATTAGAATATTGTGCAGAAGTTCATTTATTTCAGTAATTCAGCAGGTGAAATGTTATATGAAGGGCTAAAAATGACAAAAGGAAAAATAAATCAATAAAAGTAGAAAAAAATAAATGCAGAAATATAGTGAAAATAAATACATTTTGGTAATATAAAATGCCTATTTCTGTATTTTTACATGTATTTTCTTTATTTATTTATGCATTTATATATGTATTTCTACATTTATTTATTTATGTATTCCTACGTTTGTGGAAAGCGGGCTGCATTCTACATGGGACTGACCCCACTTAATTAGCATACAGGCGCAGGGAAAAATAAATGTGGAAATACAAAAATAAATAAATGTAGAAATAAATACATATGTAAACAAATAAATGCATGTAAAAATACATAAATAGCCATTTATATGACCAAAATGTATTTATTTTCACTATATTTCTGCATTTATTTATTCATTTCTACTTTATTTATTTATTTTTCCTTTTGTCATTTTTAGTCCTTCATACTGAGTCCTTCGCAAAGTGACATATTTCAAGCCTTTATTTGTCACAATGTTGTTGATTATGGATTACAGCTTATGAAAACCTTTTCACAATATTACAATTTTGAATTTGGCGTTTTCATAAGCTGTAATCCATAATCATCAACATTATAACAAATAAAGGCTTGAAATATCTCACTAACATCAGTTTCACCTTCTAAGTTGAATTAGTGAAATAAATGAACTTTTGCACAATATTCAAAATGTGAGTTTATATGATTAATGGATGAAATACTCGATGACTAAAACAATCGTCAGCCCTAAATGTCCCCCAGCATGCCCTTCACCAGCAGAGGCGTTCTCACCCACCGTAGTGTCGAGGAGTTGACGGACTGCGACGTCTTCAGGGTCCTGGAGCTGAAAGGAAATGAGCCAACGTTAGCGAGTGTGAGGGCGGCTTCTGTAAAGCTCAGATCAGTGATGTGACTGTGTGTTTGATCTGTATATCTGTCTTTTATGCATAGCTTTGTATTTGACTGATTTATAGGGGTGTAACCATATATCGAGTTTAAGTGTAAGAACAACAAGAAACTAGTGTATAATGATACATATAGCGTATAATAATGCAGTGTGTGTCCTGATCATGTTCATATTTATCTACAATAATTCAGTGTTTTCATCTTCAGAATCATGAATATTGTTATTCTGGTGTTTCTATTTGTCCTGTGCGTTGGGTTTCAGCACCGAGTCCAAGAATATTCATATACACACACACAACTTAACACCAAATTTTAGCATTTTAATCATCAGGACATCTTGGGAGTAGCGCAATAATATCGTATCGTGAGTTCAGTTTCGTGACATGAGGGAATCGTTACATCCATCATGAGTAATATTGTTAGGTACAGCAGTGATGTGTGTGTTATGGTTTGGCTCCGGGTGTGCTTACAGGGCGGCCTGCGCGCTCCAGCCGAGGCTGAGGGGGGGCCGCGTGGCATCGGTGCAGTGGGACAGCAGCGTCAGGTGTCTGGGGATCAACACCTGCTGGCCCAGCTTGCTGTTCAGGGACAGCTGAGTGTTGTAGCTGTAGCGCTTCAGGTGGAGGATCAGCACCCTGCACACACACACACACATGCTGACAAACCACATCCAGGACTTCTCAAGCACCACTTTTGGGGTTTTCAATGACGATAGTCAGAGATCAAACACTAATCAAACAATATCTTTATCACCTTCAGATTCTGGAAAAGGTGAATAAACCAACAAAACAAAATGTAGGGTCCTTTGAAATCAGTTTTACTTTTACTTTTTTTATTTTCTTTTTCTTTGCTATGTGCCGCCCAGATTTGCATTTTCACCAGACATACGCTCTTCTCCCACACAAAAACAGAATTTCAATCCAAAAATGCCAAATTCCACGAAATTCATCGTTAATTTGACAATTGAAATTCCATCTGAAATTATAGGGCCCTAAAAATGGTCGAATACAGTGCAGCAGAAGCAATGACTGCGGTAACTTTAATCACAGAGACACCATGACCGATATTACTTATTCGAACTGATTCCCTCCCATTAATAAATGATTGACAATAGGGCTGGGCTGTATATCGAGTTTGTATGATATAATCGATATATAGTACGATATCGGCCGATATATCGGTTATCGGCTTTCAAATATAAAGAATTATCGGTTATCGGTATCGGCCAAAATTTTCATATCGGTGCATCCCTAATGTAAATAAAAAAAACGTAGGATTTTAAGGGTACTTATTTTAACGTAGAAAGTACCGCCTCCACTTAACTGTCACTGTCCCACAGGTGGGACGTTTGCCACTATATTTTTAAAACAATAATATCTTAGAAAATACCTTAAATAATATTGACAAACTATATATCATTTGAAAGCTTACAATCTCTAGTTTCCATATTTGGTGACTGATTTTCAAAATATATTACAGAGGAGCCATAATTTATCAATATGCAACAAGAATATTTCATACTCGTAAGGCGTGTTCAGACCTTTATTTTAAAATAGCAGTAAACATGAAAAATCATGAAAAAATGGTAGATTCCTCAGTTTGTTTTCATGCCAAAAGTTCAAAAGATAGAATCCATTCAATTATTTTGGAAAAAAAAAGGTCTGAAAAGTTTGTAATATCAAGAAAAAAAATAATAAATTCACCATTTGTGACGTGGCAGCTAGCTATGACTTACATGCGTGTTCTTTGTATGTGTTTCTTAGAGGTTCAATTCATTTCAAAATCTGCCAAACTTCCCATGCTACTTCTGAATAGGATCTCTACTTCAGAAATTGTATGAAAATTGTGAAAATAATGGTTCATATCACTCAAAACACGAATGGAAATGCAGGCGCCCTTATATGGGCAGTAATGGAGTCTGATTGTGCCCTAGTGGAAAAGTTTGGTACTGCGCTCAAACAAAATCTTACTGAAAGCTCATTTTTTGAGATATCAACCTAAAATTTGAAACACAACTTGTTCAGATTTTTGGCTTTGATCTTTCTGCCGTTTTAGAGTAGCCCAGGTTTTGAAAATATATATTTTATGTAAAATATGAATAATTAATATTTTTACATTGTACATTTCCATAAACTCAAACTTCTATAACTTTTTTTCTGTTTCACTTTCTTAATTTATTTCACTTCTACAAAAATCTGCCAAATGTCTTCTTTAAAACAAGACCAATCATATGTCTATATTCCAAAGCATTCTTGAATTACAACCATTTAAGTTCGAAATGTGCATTTTCATGTCTATTCAAAAAAGGGGGGGTGACAGGAACTTTGAAATGTGCGCTGTGATTCGATAGCGGTGTTAATAACATTAATGTCATACAGCTGCAGGTTGGGACCTGACGCGCATTTAATAATAATTAGCAATATTGTTTGTCATGATATTATACGTGCAGTTTTTAGGAACTGGTTTTAATTTCAGAGGCTACCTAGTTCATTTGTAAACTTTTAAAAATGCAATTGTCACAACAAATATGATTGAGAATCGTGACAATGCACCTAAATTACTCGATAAAATGTGGATGTTGAAAATAAGTTTTACACAGCTGCCTTAAGACATTTCTAAGTGCTTTTTACCCCCGTCGTCATAATGTCAGGGCTCATCAAACCCACAGACCGACGGCGAGCCGTGAAACACACTTTGGCTTTCGTGTCTGCTGTACGTCTCGTGGTCTCTGGAGATGCATCACCTCGAGTCACGCTTCGCTCGCATTAGCGGCACATCTCAGAGACGTGTCATGTTTTCTGGGTCAGAGTGAATCTCTGAGTTCTGATGCTTACGTGGTGTGTGTGTGTGTGGCTTTCCAGGTGGCCGAAGGAAAGACAATAAAGAGCGGCCGGAGATCTCGCCGCCCTCAGACTTCGAGCACACCATCCACGTGGGATTCGACGCGGTTACTGGCGAGTTTACGGTCAGTATACGTAATCTATCAGCAAATATAGCCTAAATAATGAGTTATTTTAATTCATATTTAATTGTTTTTACATATATATTGATTATATATTATTCCTGCATTATTTTTTTACTGGATAACAGTTTTGATAAGAAATTTCGATAATCAATGTTTTTAAAAAGGTTTCAATGTGGAAATTCTTAGGATTGATTGGATTTTTTTAACATGAATTTGAAAGATTTTATGAAGTTGTTATTGTAATGTTGTAAGATGCTTAGTTTGTATGTTTTTTATTTATTTTAGCTTAGTAAAAAATTTCAAATAATGTACCCAATTTAAAAACATAGCTTTTATTAAAATTCCTGTCAAACATTAAACGGAAAGGTTTTATGTAGTTGTAATGTGTTATTTCTATCAATTCGAAATAGTTGTTATTGTAAACGTTTCTGTCGCATCACTGTCATTTTTTACCCAGCTGTCCTAACAGTGGAGGAGGGGCGGGGCAAATACAAATTCATCTTGTACGAAATCATTTAAAACAAGAGCCAGAGAAAATACGTAACTATCAACATTTGTATAGACCTATTCAATCCCTGTCACTCTGGTGCTGAAGTATGGCTTATTTATGTTGCTCTACGGTTGCTACGGTGTTGTAAATGGTTGCTAGGGTGTGGCTAGATTGTTTCCTAATAGTCTGGGTGTGTATCTGGATATTTAAACACTACTTTCCAGTCTGAGTCAAAAGAGGTTCTGATGCAGAGATATCCCTCTCACCTTTTTTCAATGGAAGTCGTCTAATGGGTGGTTGCTAGGGTGCTGTAACTGGTTGCTAGGGCGTGGCTATGTCGATGTTACATCACTGCTTATTGGCTGCTTGCTGGGCGAGTCAAATGAGCTCACCCACAAGTCTCTATGACATTGTCTTACAAAGATATGATCCCACAAACTTCGTGTCAATGTTAATTGTTGGGAAAGATCCCGGACGAGCCCCCTTTTTTTTTTTTTTTTTTTTTTTTTCTTCTTTCTCCTTTGTCGCACTTTACGAACCGGCCGTGACCCAAATCTAGGAGACTTTTCGCCCAATATTTTCTCAGAAAATGTACAACAATTGCTTAAAGGGATAGTTCACCCCAAAATGAATATTCTACCAGTAATTACTCATTACTCATGTTGTTCCAGACTTTCGTTCATCTTTGGGACATAAAAAGTATCTTAATTTGGTTCTGAAGATAAACGAAAGTCCCTACGGGTGTTGAACAATGTGAGGGCGAGTAATTACTGACAGTTTTCATTTTTTGAGTTTTTGAACTAACCCTTTAACAGAGAATTTTTAAACTTTTTGGCCAAATATCATAATCATAAGATTTTAATGTACAGTAGAAACGATGCATAACCTAAACCAAATGCGCCATTTGAATTGGCAGAAAAACTAACGTCTGATAGTGAGGTGTAAGTGTGTTTTCTCCGTGTCCCGTAGGGAATGCCGGAGCAGTGGGCCATATTACTGCAGACCTCCAACATCACCAAATCCGAGCAGAAGAAGAACCCGCAAGCCGTTCTGGACGTCCTGAAGTTCTACGACTCCACGGGCAACGGCCGGCAGAAGTACCTCAGCTTCTCCTCAGGTCTGCGGCGCGCCGGCGCTTGTGCTGATATAAGTCCAGTGTCACGTCATGTCGTACTGACCGCTTTTCTTGTTTATGTGTAGAGAAGGACGGATTTCCCTCTGGTGAACAATCGGTATGTTATTTTACACTCATTCAGATGCTGTAATAGTTTGTTTCACAAGTTTTATTGTTTTGGTTTTTATATAATTTTTTTGCTCAGCTCTGAAAGCTGAATAAATTAGCTTTCCGTTGATGGTTTGTTAGGATAGGACAGTATTTGGTCGAGATCCAACTATTGAACATCTGGAATCTGAGGGTGCAAAAAAATCGAAACATTGAGAAAATCCCCTTTAAAGTTGTGCATTTATGTTCAAGATTGTGCTGCATCCTCTCACAAAAATACATTTTTAATATATTTATGTTAAGTAATTATCAAAATATCTTAATTTTCTATTGATTTTTGGAATAAAAGAAAAATCGATATTTTTGACCCATGCAACGTATTGTTGGCTATTGCCACAGATATACCAGTGCGACTCCTGACTGGTTTTGTGATCCAGGGTCACATATAAGTTTTTAGTTTTGGATTCTCAGGTTTAGTAACTTTGTCTTTTTGTATTTTTTTTTATTAGTTTTTAGTTGTATTTCATTTTTTTATCAACCGTTCTTTTTAGCACATCAAGTTAAACTAAATAAAGTGAAACGTTGCCTTGGCTGAAATGTAAACTAGTGGTATTTTAGTATCTTATAGTTTTTATTAATATTTTGAATGGGTCTTTATTTTTATATTTTCTGTTTTAATTGTAATTTTTGTTAAAGTATGTTGTTTTGTTGTCACAAAAGTTTTTGTTTTTAATACATTTAATACAGTTTTCATTGATTTTTATTTCAGTTTTAGTTATTTTAGTACATCACGTTAAACGAAGTAATGAAACATGTTGGCAACTAGCTGATATAAAGTAAGTTTTTATATTTATTTTATTTAACAGTTTTATGGTTTATTTTTATTTTAACTTAGATATACATAAATAATATACACTTAAACTTATTTTATATGCACGTTCAAGTAATGTATAGTAATTTTTATATTTAAAAAATTGTTTCTTGTTCTTTTTCATTTTTATTTATTTTAATACATCGAATTAAACTAAACAATAAAATATGTTAGCAACTAGCTGAAATAAAGTAAATGAAATTTTTCATACTTTATTTTATTTCAGTTAACATTTATTTTATTTACAGCGACAAGATTTTTTTTTAACGATTTAATTTAACAATAAAAACCCTAAATAAACAAACTTAATTTAACTTATCAACTTTCATTTCTTTGAAGATAATTTTTATTTTATTTTAAGCTACAAAAATTCTTACAGGTTTTTTGACTAAGCCTGGTCTTTTCCGAATATAATTACACTGCTTTCCTTCCCTAAAACCTGCAGCCTGTCAAGAAAACACCAGAGCCTTCGTCCCCAATCAAAGCGGTGGATGATGATGAAGATGATGACGATGAGGAGGCGCCGCCGCCTGTTGTCGCACCTCGACCAGAACACACTAAGAGCGTAAGAAATTAAAAAACTCTAAATCTATATATCTATCTATAGTAATATAACTGATTAGTGTGTCATTAAGATACTGTTTATGATTTCAGGTTTACACTCGCCCCTCTGTCATCGACCCGCTCCCTCCCCCCGTGACCTCTCCAGACAGCGAGGTCGCGTCCAAGGCCACCGACCGGCAAAGACCCAAAAAGGGCAAGATGACCGACGAGGAGATCATGGACAAGCTCAGTACGTCACTTCATGCGTAGTTCTTTGTGCAGTTTCTCTTTTTTTTGCGAGACTCAAATCACGTGTTTGTTCTCCGACAGGAACCATCGTCAGTATTGGAGATCCAAAAAAGAAATACACACGATACGAGAAGATCGGACAAGGGTAGGGCGGAGAGTTTTGCACGACATGTTCATTGAATGGAGATTAATAATGGTTTCTGTCCACAGAGCTTCAGGAACTGTGTTCACCGCCATCGACGTTGCCACTGGACAGGAGGTAATGCAAACGAGAGAGGAATGCGTTTTTCTTTTCTTAGTTTTTCCACATTCTCATCATTACGATGCGTTTCTGTCTCTCAGGTGGCCATCAAACAGATCAACCTGCAGAAGCAGCCCAAGAAAGAGCTCATCATCAATGAAATTCTCGTGATGAAGGAGCTGAAAAACCCAAACATTGTCAACTTCTTAGACAGGTAAACGTTCTTCAAGTAACTTCAACTGGCCTCCAGTCCTCCTCAAAAAGTTGACGTTATTAATTGAAAACTCGACAAGTTTCAAAAAAAAAAAGTTTTTATTTATTTATTTATTTTTTAATGTGTTTTACGTTTACAGATAATACAGGACACAGAACATGTAGGATGCTGGGAAAAAGTTTGCTATTACTTACAAGCGCGTCGTTATTAGTTGTGTAGTGACGTGTGTATTCAAGTGTGCCAGATATGAGCAATACGCTGTATTTAATATATCATGAGGATCACAAGTTGCGTATTTGCGCTAAATCCGCGCAAATTTGTCGTACAGGAACTTCCCCATCAAAGTGAGTAAACATCGTGTTTTGACAGCGTTTCCCGCCAAATTTAATTGGATTTTTTTTTTTCGTTCAGAAAAATCGCTGACTGGTGCGTCTCAAGCGCCTCTTTACGCTCGTCCTGTTAGGTGTCCGTGGATTTGCCTGTATTTGGTGTTGAAAATTAGAGCCAGACCGATATATCGGCCGATATTAGGCATTTTCCATAATATCGGCATCGGCAGTTATAATGGCCGATAAATGAATATTTAAAAAATAAAATAAAAACGGACGAAACACGCTTTAATCATCTCTCCTTGGCCTGTTACATTGAAAATGTATGTTTTACAATTTGCAAACATACATATATGGCTCATCATAGACTAGCTAACCACAAAGCTAGCTAACGCCACTATCATCAGTGGAAGAGCGCTAACGTTAACATTAATGAGCTTGGAAACCACAATAAACTTTTTTCTGTCTAAATAAAGTAATGATTACTGTATTTATAACTCGCATATCTCTAGTTACAGTCCCTGCATTGTAAAATGTAAGTTATACTTGCGAGGAGTGAACATTTAGACATAGAGAAAAAGTATCAAACGTATCTTGTGCAGGAAAGTTAGCTTTTCTTTTACACGTGTGTGTGAAATCCAACAATATTTAATAAAAAAAAATATCGACCGACATATCGGATTTTAAAACCCAAAAATATTTGTATCGGTATCGGCCTTCAAAATCCTTTATCGGTCGGGCTCTATTGAAAATGTTAGCGTCTTTAGACAAGGAAAATCGATTTTACAATCGATTCAATGAACACTAATCTCTCGAATCGAACAGGAGTGACAGCCCTAATGCTAATGAGAGTGTTAATTGTGTGTGTGTGTGTGCTGCAGTTTTCTAGTAGGTGAGGAGCTTTTTGTAGTGATGGAGTACTTGGCCGGCGGCTCGCTCACAGATGTCGTAACAGAAACGTGCATGGACGAGGCTCAGATCGCCGCCGTGTGCCGAGAGGTGCGTTGAAGCCGCTCGCTAGATTTACAAGTTTATGGGGAAACCCTGATGATGGCGCTTAACTAATGACCTTCCTCTTGTGTGTTTTCTCCCAGTGTTTGCAAGCTCTGGAGTTTCTGCACGCTAATCAGGTCATTCATCGAGACATCAAGAGTGACAACGTGCTTCTGGGAATGGACGGTTCTGTCAAGCTCAGTATGTTCTGCACTCTGGTTTTCACGACTTTGCCTTAAGCATGAAGTTCAGTTCGAACACTGAACAGAGATGTCGATTGTGGTCAGGCACACTCACTGAAAGGTGCCGTCACACGTGCCCATGTTTGGTTTAGCAGCTCGCTCTGAACAGTACGTCTCTTGTGAGCCAAAACTAGCTGACTAAAGAAACAGAAAAAAGGCTGTTAACTATAGATGTGCAAACAGACCAATATTCAAGTGAAAAAAGTACCCAACAGCACTTAAAATGCAAAAATTTTGAAGAGATGTTGTTAGCAGGGCTGGGTATTCAGACAAATTTCACAATTCAATTCAATTTCGATTCACAAGCTTGCAATTCGATTCGATTTCGATTCAATATCGATTATTTTGGATATCAGTTATAATAAATGGCAATTTTTCTCAAGGGAATCAAATCTCTGAACTAATGCTGTCAACTATGGGAGTCTAGTTGTAGCCAATAGGCTTCATTAGCCTAATATGAAGGTAATAATAAACTGTTTTGTAGCTATACAAACACTTAAATTACACTTTTATTTATTTTATAATAAGAAGATTATATGAAATATAAACATTTAAATGGTGGCTGTCACAAAAACTTGCCAGATTTATTCAAATATGCATTAAATATTGAAGAACATTAAGATTATAATGCATATGTAATATGGTGTATATATTTAGCAAAATGCTCCTCTCTAGAGTTATTTTTTCTAGCTGACTAACGAGTTTATGTGGGTTTTCTGAGGTAAATATAACGATGACATTGATTACAAGCTGTTTAACTGACGTCTTTCCACGGTTGAAACGCTGATTGAGCGAATCAATGTGACATGATCCGGATTTGGATAAGTTGTACTCTATCTTTAACACTCTTTCAGATGCTCATTCATGTTTATTTGGCGCTGTGACTGGTATTATTAAGCCGGAAGAGAGATCGGCGCTGCTGCTTCTCCAGAGCGATCTCACGCCACAGCGACAAAACGCTATTTATGTTTTTGAATTTCTAAAGAAAATGGACGTAATTTGAAAATCGAGACTTTGTTTCATATCAATAGTAACATAGGACAAAGATTATTGCGCTTTTTTTGGATGCGCGCAGCCGCGATACAATATCCCATTCATTCAAATGAAACAGGATGACTAATCGATTCTTGAGATTTAAGAATCGATATCGGTTCGTAACAATGAGAATCGATTAATATCGAGAAATCGATATTTATTACCCAGCCCTAGTTGTTAGTATTTTGTTGTACGCTGATAATGTTTAGTGCGCGCTGGTTAGCATCATGTTCATCATCTCCGCATTTCTTCACCCTAGACATTCATTGTGAATCAAACTAGCCCTAAACTAATCAAATCTGTGATTGGCTTGATGGTAAATGGGATTTAATTAGATGCAAATGAAGACAGGGTCTCAGTCATGAAACGAGCAAAACAAACTTCTAAGTTGGTTATGAAACAACATTTTTGTCAATTGTCCCATTTAATTGACGCAATTCAGGTTTTACGAGCAATTTTCTCACGTTTCATAAATGTAGCCGATAACTTCTTCAATCCATCCCATACTTGTTGTCATTGGCCTCAAATATGGCATCTACTGATACTGATATGTTCCATCTAAAGGCTTTGTCAAAAACGTAGAGATGTATAAAGCACAAGTCACTTTCAAACCAAGTAGCTTTTTTCCGTTTGGGGAATTGATGACACTCCCGATTGCAAGGATTTCTATTGGACTGAATGGATTTAGCTCACGAAAAAACCATGTCTAGTATTGTCTCTAAACTTTCTATTGTCTCTTCCGCAGCGGACTTTGGCTTTTGTGCCCAGATCACTCCTGAACAGAGTAAGAGGAGCACTATGGTGGGCACGCCATATTGGATGGCTCCGGAGGTGGTGACGCGCAAAGCCTACGGACCCAAAGTCGACATCTGGTCCCTGGGCATCATGGCCATCGAGATGGTGGAGGGAGAACCGCCGTACCTCAACGAGAACCCACTGAGGGTATGTTGGCGACATTAGACGCGTTTCCATTGCAGATTTGCGCAAAACTTTTCCGATGCTTTGTAAACGTTTGCAAAATGGCGGCGTTTCCATTAACCGATGTTACGCGGCTAAAACGTTGTTTTTTCCTCTCGCGATCAGTCATTCCTCAAATCATGGCAACAGATGCCATGATTTGATCAACAGACTGCCGATCAGTCATTCCTTTAATCATGCGTCAAATTCGTACGAATTGGTCGTGAGATAGCATAGGATATACGTAAACCTACCAACAGCTTTACGTATACCTACGCTATCTCACGACCAATTCGTACGAATTCGACGCATGATTAAAAAGTGTCTAATTCGTACGACCTCACTCTTACGAATTTGTACGATTTGTCTAAACCCACGTGATGGGGAGGTTTAGGGGCGTGGTAAGGGGTAGGTCATTCGTACGAATTCATACGAATTGGCCAATTCGTAAAATATGTACGATTTAGCAAAATCGACCTCACTCGTACGAATTAGACACTTTTTAATCATGCGTCGAATTCGTACGATTTGGTCGTGAGATCGGGTTGGTATATCGCAGCCACTGGACATTATTATTAATGGAAGGAGATGTGTGTGTGTTATCCAAGCATTAATGGCAAGGAAAGACTTTTATACTGAGAGCGGCTCATATTTCTGCTTCTTTGGGGTTTAGATTCCAGCATTCATGTAATACTTATGTCTTTTATATAAAAAATATTAAATTAAATTAAATTTAATTCATTAATTAAATTTTAATAAAAAACTGTGTCGTATCCAAGTATCCAAACATACTCATGCGAGCGTAAAAACTTGTTTGCGATATATGGGAGTTTTTTGCGAAATTGCCTTTTGGGCGTATTTTCAATTTGCGCAAATTAAAGGGTAACGGAATTGTTGCTTTGAGTACGCAGACAATGCCACTAAAATCTAGGGCTGCCCTCGATTCTAAGCTATTTAGTCGACTAATCGCTCATTTATATTAATAAGCCATTTGTATTTATAAAATACAAAAAGCCTAATTGGCTAATAATCTTTCTTCCTCAGGCGCTCTATCTGATTGCCACCAATGGGACTCCAGAGTTGCAGAGTCCTGAGAAGTTATCGCCCATCTTCAGAGACTTCCTCAGTCGCTGTCTGGAAATAGACGTGGAGAAGAGAGGTGGAAGCAAAGAGCTTTTGCAGGTAAACCCGCCAGCAACTAGAACTAGCGATTAGGTTTGGGGATCGAAAATTGATTCCTGAATTGAGGTCACGAATCGAATTTTAATTTTTATTCGGACTTTAAAAAATTCAACGGCGAGACGTTTTCTGTGCTCGCACACGTTTGGCGTGTGTAGCTATGGGCAAACAACAAAAGACAAAAAATTAACTCTGAATAACTTATTTGTATATTTTACTTATAAAGTGCAGTGTTATTTTACATTTGATTACAGTTTCTAAATAACTGAAAATATTAAAACACTTTCAAATTTGCAATTGCTAATTTTTTTTATTCTTTTTTACTTGTTCTCTTTTAATTACTTGCCTTTTAATATTGCCGGAGATTTATAGTAGAAAATGTATTTCAAATTTAAATTTATACTAGTTAGGCTAGTTATTTGTCAATGGTAGTTTTAAACCAAATTTTAGCCGACTCCATTGAACATCCTTCTGTCTCCTCAGCATCCCTTCCTGAAGCTGGCCAAACCTCTCTCGAGTCTCACTCCTCTCATTTTGGCTGCCAAGGACGCCATGAAGAACAACCGCTAGCCTCCCGCTACGAACGAGCTGTGCCCGAAAGCACCGCGAACTGCTGAACACTCGAAATCTGTGCCAGGCGTTTTTACCAGTGTCAATGACATATCCATGTTGCCAAAACAAGCATTTAATTTGGGTCTTTGCCTGTTTTTAACCCTGTATTGGCCGCTGTGGTATTGGGGGGTATTAGATGTCCTCCTGCTCTCATTAGATTCTTGTTGGAACGGTCTGTGTTTTATGTATGAACTCTTCCACTCTTTGGCTCCTATAGACCTCATATGCTCCATAGTTGATGACACAAATCAATCATGGTGATTTCTGATCCAGCTGGAGACCTTTTGTTAGTCTTTCTGTAGCCAGAATCACGACTGAAAACTGTGTAAGCCGACTCCTGTTCTTGACCCGAAGGGAAGAGCACCTTACTGATGCACACCAACTGCGAGCAGTGAATGATTTTTTTGTAGTCACTCGTGCCTTTGTTGTTATTCCAGCAAACACCTTTATACTTTGTCTAAAGAGGCAGATTTTTGCCATTTGAACTTCCTCTAACCTGAGACGAAACTTTCATGTGATGAAATGTGTATATGACGTACTTCGAAGAAGCGTAGCATTTCAGTTGATGTAGTTAACCGAAAGCAGGACACGTAGATTAGATGTGTATGTTTGTGTACACGAACACTTTGGCGTCGTTTTAGTAACTAACAGTTTGTTATGAAGTCAATCCAGTTGTCGATAAGTCATGATGTGAGAACTATTTTTATGCTTTTCAGTCACTTGTTTTGCAAGTAAAAACTGAATTCCTGCAAATTCTGTGAACGATAGTCATTGCAACATTGTGTACATCTCTTGTTCTTCATTAAAAGAGGACTTGAAACTTGAGATTAGAATAAACTCTCTCTCTAGGGCTCTTTTGTAGTCTGTTTAAACCTTTTCGTGAGTTAATGGGGTCATTCCTGTTATGAAATACCATTTGAGCTCTTTGATTTGTACAACTAAATTAATATGCTTGCATGTGTTGAAATGTAAGGATTTTTCTTTTAAAGGTTTTAGTAGGTTTTATAAATATGTTGATCAAGCTCTTAAGTGCTTAAGCTTGACCATTACAGTATTATTTGATTAGTGAGTGATTTTCAGAGGTAATTTGCATTGGAATGTCAACTTGAAGCTATTTTTAACCTTTAATATTTTTAATATTCGTCTTTTATGCTTTTGACTTTTCTTTGAATTTGATATCTAGATATGTTTGTGGACTGTTTTAGAGTGGGTCAAACTAATATCATAAATCATTAGGAAATTCATCCAATCATACTTGTTTTTTAATCAAAAAAGAATTTCTGGAGGTTGATATCATTAGGAATCTAGCTTTTTTTAGTTTAAAACAACATCTGCTCAAAGTAAATTGACTTTAAATTCACTTCCGTTTTTGATGAAAGAAAACGGGGGCGCTATTTTCTTTCGCGCCGCAAAAAAAAAAAAAAAAATACAAACCTCAACGGTCGCGCTAGCAGCCGGTCAGGATCGAGGCGCACGCACGAGTATCATCATGAAGACCAGCTAGGATCGAAGTCGATTATCTGTTTAAAGTTGTCCATTCTTATCTTGAATTCACTCCTGAAGAAAACGTTAAAGTTATTTAAGTAATTTGCCGTTAAAATCAGCTTTTGGGTTGAGATGGAATGCTTGAATATTACGGGCGCCTGAGTACGTTGGTGAGTACGTAACGTTACCTGAAAATGTTTTGTTCGAAAATGATGTGGCCAAGTTGTGTGTTAGGCTTTTCTACTATACAAAGGTTTTCATCCGTAAGATTTTCATCTTCGTTTCATAAAAACGTAACGTTAATTATTTTTTTGCTCAAGTTGTGGTGCGTACGCAAAAATATGGCCTAGGCCTATTTGTCGTTTTAACGACGCTAGTAGTCTCTTTAACTCTTGATGTATAGTATACGTCAATGCTCTTTATTTTAAGATACGTTTTTCTTGCCTGCTCGTGTTCGACCGATCGGATAGCATCGATGATCGGTTTTCTTACGACTTATTAGGACTTTATTAGTATCTTGAGTTGTATAGCGAGCTCAATCTCAAGGTAAGTTCTCCCATTAGGTCCACCACTAGAGAAATAACAAAAAGATTTATTTTTACTTTTCTAAAGTTGAGTTTTTAACCTGGGTGTCAGCCTGTCAGATCAGCGGAAGTTTCCAGCACATCTTTCAACCTTAATTTGACGTAAACGACGTGTTTTCTTTTACTAAACATTCAAACTATATATATGAAGAGTTCAGATGCAAAAGCCTCTAAGTGCCATTTGAAATTTTCTTCTAAAATGATCATTTTTATCAAGCTTGTATATTTAAGTTCAGTAATTTCACTTAAATGGCAATGAAGATTACCTATTAATTGTCATTTAAGTGAAATTACTGAACTTAAATATACAATATAATAAAAATGGTCATTTTAGAAGAAAATTTCAAATGGCATTTAGAGGCTTTTGCATGTCAACTCTTCATATGTATATTAGTTTCTATTACAGCAGGATTTCTTGAATATTAGCAGTCATACACTTTTAAGTATCCTAAAGCTTAAGTTTGCTGATTTGATCAAATTGCGAAGGTTATTATATTGAGCTGTCAAAACCTTGGTCTGTTTGTGCAAACCATTGAACGAAAAATCACTGTCGGCATTTAATTTAGTGAGAACCTTAATCCAATAGATGAATTAATGTAATACGCTTGAGAAGTATATTTGAAGAGTTCAGATGCAAAAAGCCTGCAAAAAAGTGCCATTTGAAATTTTCTTCTAAAATGATCATTTTTATCAAGCTTGTATATTTAAGTTCAGTAATTTCACTTAAATTTCACAGTGAAATTACTGAACTTAAATATACAAGCTTGATAAAAATGGTCATTTTAGAAGAAAATTTCAAATGGCATTTAGAGGCTTTTGCATCTGAACTCTTCATTTATCTTTGGGTTGGAGCGCCACCTAATGGTTGTTTACTAAACTCAGTCCAAAAACGTTTCTCTGTAAAGATAGCTTGACTTTTTCCTCACAATTTAAACAACTGTCTATTGGTCAGGGACTCCAGTGTTTAAGTTCAGGGACATTATGCTATTCTTTGTAAGTTGCATTCATGAATTCTTAAGTTCATAAGTCGTTCATGTATTCTTTCTCTTCTCAAAGGGAGCTGTTGGGACATTGAGATGTCTGTTGGAGGTTAGTATTTTTTGGGTTAGTCCTCTTGCCTAACTGTTGACTACTGAGATTTATAGTAATGGATAAACTGTGAACATGTTTTTAGTAATGTGTGTTTAGCTTATGCTGTTACAACACAAAATGTCCCGAGCAAAAGACACCATTATGCGAGCATTGGTGGTTCAGTGGTAGAATTCTCGCCTGCCACGCGGGAGGCCCGGGTTCGATTCCCGGCCAATGCAGTAGATGTTTTGGAAGATTTTTTTAGACGCTTACAATACAAACTAATTATTTTTTTATTTGTGTTCAAGTGTGTGATTTTGTGACCTTATATAAACAGGTTGTCAATGTTCTGACCACTCATTAATCCATAACCTTATGTATCCATATGACTTTCTGAGGAGGTACGATTACATTTACTGTTCTAACAACAAATATTGGATCAAATTGCATATTTAGTTAGATATTGTGTTAATTTCTATTTCAGACCCTGCTTAGAAATAAAGAGTGATTCAACGTAAGGGATTCGAATCAGGAGCCCTCAATATAAGAAGTGCTGCGATACAACCTGAAGGTAAGATTTGAGTTAAAACAGTCTTATGTTGTCACTAAAGTTTAAATGTCAAAACAAAATATTTGGTAACGCTACCTTTTACAGTCCAGTTACTCATGTAAACACTATGTACTTATTTTAGTAACTACAATTACTGGGTAATAACTAGTACTAACCCTGAACCCATGTACTTACCTTATATTAGCCAGTACTTTCTAGGTAAGTACACTGTAAGTACAGTACTGTAAAAGGAAGCGTTACCAAATCTTTAAACAAGCTAAAATCCGACATCGACATCAACGGCTAGCATTGAAAGCGTCTGTGAGACTCGTGTTATCACTCCTCGTTAGTATAGTGGTAAGTATCCCCGCCTGTCACGCGGGAGACCGGGGTTCGATTCCCCGACGGGGAGATAATGCTTTTTTTCTCCATGTGTATTCACTGGAGAACTCTCAGTTTTAGACTCTCTTTGTATGCATAAAACCTACGATCACTGAAAAATGACAAACTGTTTAATTCTTAAATTAAAGATAAAAGTGTTGGCTTAGGCCTATTTGTCGTTAAGTTTGAGTTTTAACTCTTGATGTAAACGTCAATGCTCTTTATTTTAAGTTACGTTTCTTGACTGGTCGATCTTTACGTTTCGCTTGAAAAGTAGATCGTGGGCATCTTCAAGATCGATCACCATATAAAATCGAGCATGATGGGCCTTTAAAATAGTTTACAACAATACGACTATGTGGGTTTTCAGCACTGCTTTCTGTGCCTGCTCTCCCAGGCCGGTTAGCTCAGTTGGTTAGAGCGTGGTGCTAATAACGCCAAGGTCGCGGGTTCGATCCCCGTACTGGCCAACGATTTTTGTCTCTGTGACTGTTTTGTTGAGATTTTAGCTTTGAAATTCTCATTTACAATAATAATAGGTAGAATTGAACGGGCATGTGTGATTTTACTGGCTAAATATGAAAAAAAAAATACATTTGTCAACATTTATTAATGCAGTAAACTAAATAATAATAAATATGTTTTGCATAATTTATTAATCTTGTTTTATTTTAAGTTAGGTAATTTCCTTGCGTTTTTTTTAATATGCTTATTTTTTTTATTTCAGTTTTCGCTCTCATAAAATACTCAAATATACTATACACTGTAAAAAATATTGTTGGTTTAACTTAAAAAAAGTAAGTAACCTGGTTGCCTTAAAATTTTAAGTTGATTGAACTGGAAAAAGTGAGTTAATACAATGAAGGAGATCAGAAACTCAAAATAATAAGTTATCTCAACTAAATAAATTATTTAAGTTGATTTAACAATTGAAAAAATGTTGTGATAACAAATCTTGAAAATGATTTTTTTACAGTGTATTTTTTAATATTTTGATATGAAATTACTTTTAATGTGAGTTAATTTCACTTTTAGTTATTTTCGAGATGTTGAATGTGAATGTATGTTGAATTTAACATATATTAAATAAAGATTTTAGAATGTTTAAATAAAATACGTTTTTTATTTACATTTTCATAATATTTTACTGGTAACACTTTACAATAACATAAAAGTACCTTATTGTATAACTAACTACCTTAGTTAAAATTAACTAAGAATAAACAATAATTCTTCAGTATTTATGAATCTTAGTTAAAATTAATTTCAACATTTACTAATCAAATATTATATTAGTTAACATTAGCACTGTGAACTAACATGAAACAAATTACAACAGCTGGATTTTTACATGAACTAATATTAACTAATGAACCTTATTGTAAAATGTGACCATTTTATTTTTATTTCAAGTAACAGAAATGTTTTTTTAATGGTTTTAGAGACCCACTAGGTGGCAGTGTTTATTAGTAAATCTGACATAAAACAATGGCAAATGCTTAAGTAAAAATGTCTGAATTTCCACAGACTGGAACATCACACAAGATGAGGAAATGTCATTTCTTCTGGAAAACAAAAAATTTTGCCCCGTGTGAGGCTCGAACTCACGACCTTCAGATTATGAGACTGACGCGCTGCCTACTGCGCCAACGAGGCCTGAAGTCTGAGTTTGCAGTGTCTCCTCTTGTTACACCACGTTGATTTTCCAACTACAACAGGTAAGGCTGAGTTTTCATGTCCGCTACAGTTGTGCTTCATAGATTTATGTGCACATTTCTGCAATCCCAAAAGCTAGTTTGTGCAAA